CAAAACTGCAGGAAACCTGAATGAAGATATACTATTAAGAAATAATATTCCTTAATTGCTTTTAGGTATGATGATGCTATTGTGGTAATGCTTTTAAATTGGGATTGCCTTGTACATAACAGAGATACATGTTACTGAACAGAAAGAGTTCATCCAGCCGGTGCTAGCTGACCCAAGCACTAAACACCAAGAACTGCAACGGAGCAAGACTGGCTATTGTATTATGAATGGCACCACCCAGGAGAACAGGAAGCTCATGCTCAAAGGCCCAAACTCCTTGATGGTTTACAGACAAGAGGTTTTATACAGCAAAACTCACAAGTCACCATGAATCGGGGCTTGGGGTCACAGGTCTTGCTGATTGGTTAAGAGTGAAGTATGGGCAGTAAATCATTGTTTGAGGTCTTGAGGTCGGCTTTGGTGTCCCTCAGTCTGGCTTCCTGAGGATGTGGCCAGAGAGTCACTCTGCTTTAGGGCTCAGGAGCTGAAACACAACTCAGGCCATGATGTTTTCTTGAGCTTAACAGAAACCCGTATCTGTAACTCTTAGTCTAGGCATGGCCATGGTTTCTGGCTGCATCAGGGGGTTAATGAATTGTTAGGCAAAGGGCTAAGGCTTATAGGGAGGGTATGTTGTGAAGCTATTGAACAGAAAATATGTATTAAATCAAATTCTACATTAAATTAGGATCCTCAGTTTCAGTTGGTCACTCATTTTGTGAGCTGAAAAACCATCTTAACAATGCACGTTACTAGGTTATCTTATGTGCAGGCGTAGAAGCTACATAGCCCGTGACTCTTACTCATTGTATACTATTATCCTTTATGCCCTCTTTGTTATTTATCCCCACCCCCACCCCTGCAGCCTAACAGGCCCTAGGCTAAGCAAGTTCTATAATGGTTAACAGGGTGCTACACAACTTCCTTCCTGTGGCTGTTAGTTCAAACTAGCATATAACTCTATTTTTTTTTAATTGATGGTATTTTCTGAGGGGGGTCTTAACTCCTTGGCTTCATATATAATCAAATATTTAGGGCTGAAGGATGATTTGCTTCAAAATAATCCACAGGGACTGAGGGAGAGAGCTGGGGGTGGGGCAGGGTGTGTGGGGGGTAGGGAGAGTTAGAAGATAAGACTGGCTCAGAGATAGTAATTATTGATGCTGGGTGATGAGTATGTAGGATGCAGCACACCACATACTCTATAGTAAACTCTCACTTTCAATAGGTTCTCAGAAACTGTGATTTCAAGCAAAACGACGTATAACAAAACCAATTTCACCACAGGCTAATTGAATATAAACAAAAGTTACATTCCTATGGCATATTTCTGGTCACAAAAACATCATCAAACTTCTAAATAAAGGCCCAAAACATGTCTAATACGAAACACTGAGATAAATGTGAGCTATACATACATTTAAGAAAGATATATAAAAACAAGCAAGATAATGATTTTCCAATCCACTTATTCCAGTTCAGGGTTGCAGATGACTGAAGCCTCTCCCAGCAGCTCAGGGCTTAAGACAGAAACCCACCCTGGACAGGATGCCCTCCCATGGACCACTCATGCATACCCACACTCACTCATACTGGGACCATTTAGACACACCAATTAACCTCACAGGTACATACATCTTGGGATGTGGGAGAAAACCAGAGTACTCAGAGAAAACCCACACAGACATGGAGAGAAAGTGTAAACTCCACACAAACAATGGCCCCAGCCAGTAATTGATTATTTTTCTCATCAACATTAGAATGAAATGACATTACGAAATGACATTATTCAAAGGTCTTTTATACTTGTTTGAGATTTCCATAATTAAAAGTTAATTTAAAATAAAAGTGCTTCCATTTCCAACATATGGCACAATAGAGACTAGCTTTACTCTCTTGCCTGAATCAAAGAACGGACAAAAATCAAACAATAGTTTTCAAGGCACTGTATATAATGAAGTGACAAAGATGCTTGAATGGCAGAAAACAAGGAAAGTGAGCTTGTAAAAGCTTCCAAGTCATGGCACATGAGGGGATACCCAGGCAACGTCTCATGGACTCCTGACTGAGAATCCAGGGAGATAAGTGTGGCTAGAGTCACAAAACAGGGTGGCTGCGAGGAGC